GTAGCTGTTCTCTCTTTAATTTCTTCCAGCTTCATCAAAGTGGCTGATGTTATTTGCTCAAGATCCAATCCCCTATTTGACTGAAAGAAATCAACCACTGCATTGATGGTTTTCTGTAAAGGAATTTAAAAATACAATCAAGTTAAACATATATACCTCTTTCAATATTGTAACTTTTTAAGACTTTGCCTCATTCTAAAATAGTAATGGCTTTGAAAGGAGAAATCGAAAGATATTCTGGACTATTTCACCTCCCACTAGAGGAAGAGCAGCCGAGTAAGCTTATAGGGAAGTTGCCAACATCTGCATGTCACCTCAGTGTCAGCTGCATTCCACAGGGGTACAGCGACACAGGCAAGGAACTACAGACATCACTGCTAGCTTTAGCCTCTCGTCGGTCAGTAAAATAGTACTTTTGAAAACTGTGATTGGATTGCATTGTACTCTGAAATTTAGAGAGGAAGTAAGAAGAAAACTATTCAGGCCTTATTTATATACAAAAGTTGATGTTAATTCTAAAAAGAGATTTTTGTAAAATGAAAAAGGTTCTGGAGATTGGCCATAGAACACTATGCCACTTAACACTACTTTAAAACACTTAACATGGTAAATTTTGTTATGTGTATTTTACAAAAAACATAAAATTTTTAGACGTTCAGAAGCACAGTGCATTCTGGAGTGTCTGCATCCATCCTTCGTGTATACTGGGAACCCATCTCTAACCTCCACAGTGAAGTACAGGAGGGTGGCGGTGGGTGAGGCAGTATGTGGAGTGAGAGGGAGCTTGGGCTAGCGGAGGGCGAGGCACAGACACAGAGCTGGAGGCAGCGCTGTCCGGAACACCTCAGCGTCAGTGCTTGCTCCCATATAGACAGCACTGGGAATTCTCCCCCCACTCCTCGAGCTTAGGTTCCAAACACGGAGAGCAAAAAAGAGCAGGCAAACAGTGTGCACCTAATCGGCAGTAGCTGGCACATGCACAGGCTGCTCTGTAGGTATATTAGGGTTTTTACATCTAACATAAGGAGACATAAATAGATCTTAAATACTTAAGGAAAAGAATGGCAATAGCATATGAGAAATTAAAATCGACTACTATAACACACACTGCTTTGAAACAAGAAAAAGCTTATGAAACTGAAGTTTGCTAATTAAACAGAACAGAAGAGAAATAAGCAAACACTAAATGCAAGGCAGCCGCAGCAAGGAGCCCAGCCTCCCTGCACCTACAGCATCGTAGATGACCTCCACGGGCTGGGACTGGACGGTCAGCGTCTGGTCAGCAAGGCTGTTCTCTGGATTGGTTTCAAACTCAATTTTAAGCAAGGATGATGCAGTGTCACCAATGGAAGCCACAAGGGATGGCACAGTATCCTGCTGTCTCAGACCTGTGATATACCAGTGTTCTAACTTTGCTTCTACCCTGCAGTCCAAGGAGAATGAGAAAGTCATAAGAGCCTTTGTAATTTAATAGGCTGAAATACAACTTTTTCTTAAAACAGTCTTCCAAGAATCAGGCCCAGTCTATTACCCAGAAGTGAAATTTAGCTTCCTTAGCCTGCCGTCCATTCACTTTCGTCATCTGTTTGCAATGCTGCTATCACTTTGTGACTGTTTTTATTACCTCATTGTCTGCTGGAAAAGCTCACTTTCACCAACCCCAGGGGACTGCAGCGGTTCTGACCACTTTTTGGTGAATAAAAATTCATGCAAAATGGGAGAAGTTATCTGCCTGCTCCTATGCCAGCCTCACCAGCCTTCATCTCTCCCCTGCTTCTTCTCGTGCTCTTTCCCATCAGCCAGACTAAGCCTTCGTGGGTTCAGTTAGGCTCTTGCCCAGATGAGCTTGTGCAGCAGTAACAGAAGGTACTAATGTACACCATCACCTCACTCTGACCACCTAACATGTTACACAGCTCCTGAATTACTAGCTTTATGTATGTCGTACCAGCTACAGCTTACACTTCCTGAAAACGAAGGCTCACAGTGCCTACACACAGCTTTCGGAGCCTGAAGCACATGGCATCAAATGTTTGTGAAGAAAAGGAAGGAGAGTACAATAATGATGAACTCTATGTAGTTCCATAATAACTGAAACACAAGATGACTATCTTGGCACACACAAAAAAATTTTAAAAAGAGGTGTTACTGGCCAGGGATTTAGCTCAGTGGCATAAGTGCCTGCCTGGCAAGCATGAGGTCATGAGTTTGATCCCTGGTACCACAAAAAATAAAAATCTTTAAAAAAAAGAGTGTTACTGATCTTTTCCATGCTGCATAGCATTTCATATATTCTGGTCTACAATCATTATTAGAGTTAAAAACTGAAATAAGTTTTTAAAAACTTACTTAAGGGCTTGCGCTCCTGGCATACTTGGGTGCCTGTCGATGTCCGCTCCCGGCCGGCAGGAAGGACACACGACAAAGTCTGGTAGTGGACAACCTTTTCTTTTTATTTTCCTTCTCCGTACAGCCTGCCCTGGGTTCTCCCAGCTGAAGCCTCCTCTGGTCCGCTCCCCGCGGCTCCTTTTGTGCTTCAGTCTGCCCCAAAGCCTCTACCGGTCCGCTCTCCGCGGCTCCTTTTGGGCTTTTACTTCTGGGCTTCTACCTGGCTTCTTCTTCCGCCCAGGGGTGGCACCGGTATATATACGGGTACAGTGTCCAATCATGTTAAAGTAAGCAAGGCAAGCTGATTGGCTAACATCATCAGTTGCCAGGCAGACTATATTGTTGAGCGGGTTGTTTACGCGGTAAGCAGGAAACTAACATATTCGATGGGAGGGGTAATCTACCTCAGGCTTTGCTCTTTACCACAGGCCGCACGTCCGCCGCGCAAGGCGAGCTATCACAGACGCGGCTCCCAACATCTCCCCCTATTTTATTTTTTATGAATGTGCGCATCGTAGCCCTTCCTGGACTGGGTGCAGAGGCTTATGCCCTATGTGTAGGCCCACCGTAGGTCCTTGGCTTAGACCCTGGTTGGCCATGCCATGGTCTGCCAAGGCCCTGAGGCCCTCGTCCTTTTTCTAGGGCCAGGCACAAACTGGACGGAACCTGGATGCACACAAGCTTGCACTCATTTCCTCTCCGTAAAGAAATCCCCTCGGAGAGAAATTTAGACCTGGGCAGCATCTAACAGTCCAGCGGCTTACGTGCAGGATGGGGTAGGGCCTGGCTTAGGTCGAGTCGTGCTGGGGAGGCACGCTCTTACCCGTCATTGACTCACCTACCCTGCTGTGTATTGTCACCTTATGGAGGAGAATGAGGGATGCCCGCCATATCTAGACTCGGTCGTGGGCCAATTGAGCAAGCCATGCATATGCCTGAGGATCTTCTTGTCCATTTCGGGCTACCGCTATTTCTATTCATCTTATTGGTTGGTCTGTGATGGATCTCCAGTAGGGCAGGTCTGATCTTCAGTCGAGGGCTTTGTTGCCCGTGTCAGTCTCTCCGGTATCCACAGTGGTTCTCGTCCCGGTTCCTGTGGGAAAACACAAACCGCGCCTCGGTTCCAGCTGACCACTGGATCCGGGCCCATCCATTGTCCTGTCAGGACATCTTTCCACTTCACCCACCCTTTATGGTTGGGGGAAGGGTTGCAGTGCTCCACAGCTGGGGAGCGATTATCATTATTTAAATTTAAAAAATTGTGTGTGAATAGTGCCATGGATAATCGTGCCTTTGGGGCCAGGCCTTGGCCTACTCCCCCTTTTGTTTTTTATTTTTTATTTTTTATTTTTATCTTTTTCGTTTTTTTTTTTTTTTTTTTTTTTTTTTTTTTTATCGGTACCAGGGATCGAACTGGCGATTGCCTGCTTACAAGGCAGGCGCTTATGCCGCTAAGCTAAATCCCCAGCCCCCGCTTCCTCGACCGGCGTTTTTCTCAGCCTGCTCGGCAGAGAACTCTGTGTACCAGGCTCGCCAATCCAGGTAACTGCCCGAGGGCAGACACGCCTTTGCCAGCTGAATCCAGTCCGCGGGGGTGAGGGGCCCAGAAGACAGATTCTCCAGCATGGCAATGGTGTAAGGCGCAGTCGGCCCAAAGGTTGTAACTGCATTTTTAAGTTCTCTAATCTGCTTTATCTCAAAAGGCTCCCATACATTGCGTCCCTGGCCCATAGCTACTTGTACAGGAAATATCCCGTAGGGGCCACTATCTATCCCAGGTGGATGTACCTCATGAGACAAGCGTCCCCCCTGCCAAAGCCGCCTGTAAAAATACCGACCCGCCGGCGGCGGAGCATAAGACAGCGGCCGTGATTGGGCAGAAAATGGGGGCCCGTGCATCACTTCCTGTTCTGGCGAAAGGGGAGGGAGCTCCCAGGCGGCCGCCTCGTGGCGAGGAATCGCCTCCGGAAACGGCCCCCAAGGTGGGGCGGAAGGCTTCGCCTCCCTCTCGCGCCGGGGAGCGCTCAGGAGCTCTCTACTCCTCCGCAGACCAGGTTGAGTAGAGCGCAATTCGCGGGGCAACGCTGGAAAAGAACCCTGCGACTCCTTATTGAGCGACTTAGGCTCCTGACAGCTGGTCTCTTTGGCCTCCTTGCCATTCAACTTTCCCTCGTCCTCGGAGTCAGACGACTCCGAGGCTAGAGCCCCGTCCTCCTCCTTAGCATCCTTGTTCCCCTTGACGGACCCCTCTCGGGAGCTCCCTGACTGGGCCTGCTCAGATACCCTGCGTACTTTTGTAAGCTCTTGAGAGCTTTCTCCACAACCACCCTCGCTCTTAGTGTTGCTACCTAACATGTTTCCCATCTTTTAATATGTTACTCACCGCGTGAGGCCCAAGGAATCCGCCACTTACGCGTGAGCCTGAGGGGAGTCTAAAAGCCCTGTAGGTGCGCGCCACCCAGAGCCCAGGCTTATCCCCAACTCACCTGTCTCGCAGCTCTGTACTGGAGCGTTGTCCACTTCCACGTCTCGGGGGTGATCAGTCCCCGGGCGGGCCTCCAAATGTCGATGTCCGCTCCCGGCCGGCAGGAAGGACACACGACAAAGTCTGGTAGTGGACAACCTTTTCTTTTTATTTTCCTTCTCCGTACAGCCTGCCCTGGGATCGCTCCCAGCCGAAGCCTCCTCTGGTCCGCTCCCCGCGGCTCCTTCCGGGCTTCGCTCCGAAGCCTCTACCGGTCCGCTCTCCGCGGCTCCTTCTGGGCTTCTACTTCCAGGCTTCTACCTGGCTTCTTCTTCCGCCCAGGGGTGGCACCGGTATATATACGGGTACAGTGTCCAATCATGTTAAAGTAAGCAAGGCAAGCTGATTGGCTAACATCATCAGTTGCCAGGCAGACTATATTGTTGAGCGGGTTGTTTACGCGGTAAGCAGGAAACTAACATATTCGATGGGAGGGGTAATCTACCTCAGGCTTTGCTCTTTACCACAGGCCGCACGTCCGCCGCGCAAGGCGAGCTATCACAGACGCGGCTCCCAACAGGTGCCCAGGCCAATGATCTGGATTTTTAGGATTTCAGGAATATTTTTGTTTTCTCTGATTACAATAGAAGTGCTTACCAACTTCAAGGTCATTATATAGGCAACATACTGAAGAAAAAAATTGAGTGAAAATTGTTACAGTTTACATAACCTTTAGCAGTTTCTTTTTAAATAAATATGATGAATTATAACGTAACCTAGCAACATGGAGGTTTTGGCAATCACATAATTACCACAAATGAAGAACAGCAGAATAAAATTTTGATAAAATTTTCTCTCTAATACAATTTATAAAGATCCAAAGTTCATTTCTCTTAAGTTTTAAAGTAGTATAACAATGACGTACAATAAGACTTCTTGTAGATGAGCAAAAAAAAAACAAACAAACAAACAAATGATAATAAGAAACACCCACCTGATGGCTGCAGGAAGTTAGCAACACACTAAAAGGAGACTCCTGACCCGATGCTTGTCAAGTCATGACTAGACCTAGACACAGGACAGCCAACCAACCGGAAGATAACTCTGGAATCTGAGACCATAACTCAGCCAGAGTGCTTGAAAACTGAATGAGGGAGCCAAGGGGCTGTGAAGCTGGCCAGCAAGATCCAAACTGGAAACGAGGTCCCTACAAAGGGCAATGGCACCGATGAGACTCCCCAACTTTGGCTAGGACCCTGATGGGCCACGGTGCAGGGCGAAAGGCAAGCATCTAAGTAGGCAGACTCCCAGGATCCACAGCACAGCATCAAATCACATCAAGCCCCCCAAAAGACCGAGGTGATCCCACGTAATGGTGCTACAGACACCAGGAAGAAACACAACGTCTCCCTGAAACAAGAATCTACCTTACTGGATACTATTTCCCTATGTCTCTAAAACATAAAAGTATATATCATTTGCAAAATCAATATCTAATATATTAGGCACATGTACAGATATGCTCATCGAATCCAGAATATGTCCAAACAAACCCAAAAAAACCACAAAGAATAGATACTCACAGGGACTCTAGACATCACATTTTACACTCACAGGAAGTGTAAGCTTAGAGGTACACTGTGGTGCTCACTATACTCAAGGAGCTAAATGACAAAACTGAGCATGTTAGTAAAGAATTTCAAAGCTATTCTTTAAAAAAAAAAAGTGTACAGAACCAAACAGAAACTCAAGAACTAAACGATACAAAAAATAAGGAATTTAATGAATAAACAATCAGCTCATGGGAGAATAAGAGGAAACAATTTAAATTAAGAACTTGGATATACAGAATAAAGAAGAGACAGACACATGAGATATAAAATCTAAAGATATTAGAAATTTTAAAAAGAGAAAGAGAATGAAGAAAGAAAAATAAAAGCTTTAGTGATTTCCCATAAGACCTCAAGATAGCTTAATGAATTCAAACAATCTATAATTCTATATGCAGAAAAAAGAATCCTTCAAGAAAAAAGGGAAAATAGATACATTTTTAGAAAACTAATTACCAACAGACCAGTATTAAAAGGAATAATGTATAGGACTAGAGATGTAGCTCAGCTGCACAGCACCTGTCTGGTAAGTGCAAGGTCCTGAGTTTGATTCCCAGTACAAAAAAAAAAAAAAAAAAGAATATACAGAAATGGGCACTCTTTGGGCAGAAAGTAATAGTACATGCATGGCCAAACAGAAAGGAACTAAATAACCGAAACATCCAGTTTGGTGACATTACCACTCTCCCTAAAGTAACCCATACATTCAGTTCAATCTCTAACAAATCGTCAGCATGTACTTCTGGAAACACTGATGATTCGGAATAGCATGTGGAAGCATGAATGATCTAGAGTAGCCAAGATTCCCTTATCCAAAGATCAAGCCAGTCATGGTGGCACAAGCTTGCAATCTCAACACTCAGGAGGCTAGGAAGATGAAGATAACAAGCTCAAGGCCAATGTGGTCTACACAGGGAGCTCTTGTTTTAAAATAATCAGAGCTTAACACCACTAAAATTTAAAAGATTGATGCCAAGTGTTGGTGAAGATGCAGAATCCTCATATCTGCAAATGGAAATGTTTTCCATCTTGCAAAACTATTTCAGAGACTACACTATTACATACACTCGTATCCTATGACCCAGCAGTTTTATTCCTAAGTAGATAATACACAGGAAATCTTAAGATATACACATTACAAAGATACCTACAAGAAATCCATGGCAGCATTACTCATAATAACCGAACAAACGGAACAACCCAAATGTTCATCAACAGAAGCACAAATGAATAACTTTTGGTATTTTTTGTAAGTGTTGGAATCCTATGGAGCGACAAAAATGAGCAAAATATATGCAGTACAACAGGATGGGCCTCACAGCAAACACAAACATGTACTTTATAATTCCATTTAGAGAAAGACAAAAATGTACAAAATAAAATCAGTGTTTATAGTAAAACAAAAATCAAACGAATTGTTAACACAAAAAGCTGGTTATTAACTGCCTCTGAAAAGGAAGAACAGGAATATACACAGGGGTTCTATATCAGTGGCAAGACTAATCTGGACCCTAACAGTAATTATACACTTGTGTCCTTTCTGATCAACCAAGTGAGCAGGACATTTCAGTTTCTTTCACTCTTACATGAGTTATGTTTCACAGCAAAAAAACTTTTAAAGATTCAATTTAAACTATAAGAAGCACTTTTTAATCAGATTATCCTTACACTCACTAATATCTAACGTTGAAGGGAAAATTTTAATTGGTAAGGTCTGACTGGAAGCATTTAACAACTGAAGAGTAAAGTAGAAACTAACAATAACATATTTCCAGCAGTTAAAAGTTGGAACTTATGTAATCCAATTACAGACCACGCGGCAGGAAGGATGGAAACACCTCTCCAGTGCAGTGTAATTACCTTCTTGGGCAAAGTCAAGTTATGCATGCTCCCGCTGTAACCAATAGCAGTGAAGAGTTTGTCCTTCTCCTCAGGGGTCATAAGATCATCAATAGCTACAAGGAAAACAGTAATTCAAGAAATTAATTTCTTCAGCTTTACAAATAAAACCAACAAGTCAAAACAAATGTCCCAAAATCAACAGAGGCAAACGATAAAACCAATCAGCCAAGTAATTTCCTCTAATACTCCACTATGACGAAAATAAGCACCTGTCTGTGTTCACCATTTCAGTAAAGACAAAGAGATGGTACAAAAGAAATTCTGTTTGCAAACGGTTTTAAAAGAGGGTCTTAGAAAATTTTAAAACTGAAGTGAAACTTATTATTAAATATTCATGGAAAAGGTAAGTGCTAAGTGCTGAAACCCCTAAATCTGAACATTTTAAATTTCATATAATTCTTCTCAAGAAAAAGTTTTACTTGAGATAAATTTACTAGGATACTGAGCTGATTTTTTTTCAAAATAAAAGTTTTTTGAAATGAAGTTCAACTGGAAGACTAAGGTATAATTAACCTAATTTTTTCTCATGAATATACAATAAACTGGCAGACTCGGAACTTACTTTCAGGAATCAATGATTCTTCACCTTTTTTCTTAGACTCCTTCTTACCCCAAAACCCACTAAACCAGCCTCCCCGTTTCTCCCCTGTGTCAGTGGATTTCTTCCTTAGTTTCTGCCCAGATCGAATCACCTAAAAAATTAAAATTAAAAAATTAACTGAAAAATAAATGCTTTCTTCATTTTCATGCTCAACACAATGTCAGACTAAAACAGGCACAAAAGCCAGGTCCTTCTTAAATGATTCTCACAATACCATTTGGTAAACAGCACCCTTGTATCTATGGAAAGCATCTTGATGAGACTAAATCGGACCAGCAATACAACTGGTTTCAGGTAAGACTGGTCTGAGGGTTATAATCCAGAAATCTTTCAGTTCAGGGCACTAGAATTGCAGGTTAGTAAAGCAAAGGCTTCCACTAAAGAAAGATGTTCTCAATACCCAAAACGTATCAGTTCAAAGCAATTGTATTTCAGAATTCACATCCACTGCTGCTTTGCTAACTATGGTATGGCAGGAGAGGAGGGCTACAGATGGCACCCGAATCACACATCAGACTCTCTCCGCAACAAATTTCTCATCTGTTTCTATTACTCCCTCTCTTTGCCCACTTACCAGATAAACCAAAAAACAAAACACAGAGGCAAAGAAAATTTTCAGTTAGAACATAAAATATTCTAAGCTGATAGTGAACAATTCTATAGTAGAGAGAACAGGCTTGGTTAGTAAATTATAAAGATTAAAAGCATGAGAAAATGTTAGACATTTATCATATGCCAAGGAGGAGTGAAACACTAAAATCTTGTTTGAATTTGCAAGTCACAAGTGAATGACAGACAGTTACTGCAGATATCACAGCTCACTGGTACTCAATCCTTTCTGTGCATGTGCATCATCAAGAAGCTTAAGAAAAACATCAAGGCCCAAGCCCACCCCAATTAAATCATCTTAAGGGTGTGGGGCTCCAGGCATCCATATGTTACAAAAATTCCCCAGGTGACTCTAATGTACACCAGGTTCAAAACTACAACAATGGAGTTTCCTTCAACAACAGCAGAGATCAAAACACAGGACATTCAGAAGCTGGACATGGTGGTGCGTGCCTGTAATCCCAGCACTTGGGAGGCTGCGGCAGGTGGATCATCGCAAATTGGAGACCAGCCTGGGCTACAAAGTGAGCCAAGGCCAGCCTGAACTGCGTAGAGAGACTCTGCCTCAAAAAGACAAAAAAAAAAAAAAAAAAAAAAAACCAGCCCACAGGGAGTTCAGCTGCTTCAACTCTTTCACAGCAGATGAAACTAAGCTACTCTGCAAAGGATACCCAATCACATGCCTACCATCTGGAGTTTGAAAGGTCTGAATTACAGTACTGACAACCCTCCCAGGAAAATGCAGCCTGAGATGGCACCCTGGAACCCCTCCTGGATACCTGCACTTCACAAAGGGGAGGATTTATGAAGCATCCTTCATAAACCTAAATGCCAGAAAAACTGCAAGGCACCTGAGTATTAAAAATTTTTAAGTAAACTGATCACTTTAAAAGAGTAGACACAAATTATAACCATCATTTTAGTCTCCATAAAAAAATCTAATTTATGATAATAAAAACATGTATTTTAACGAGATACATTTTTATTTTGAAAAAACATGAATTCATTGAAAAAAATCATTAAAACATTAAAATAAATACTCTGTTAAGAGACATCAAGTAATGGAATAACACATGGCAACATTCAATTTTCTCTTTTTCAAATCTCTACTTAAGTATCTTTTAAAAAATTCTTTTAGGGTCAGGGATGCAGCTCAGCAGCGCAGCACCTGCCTGACAAGCACAAAGTCCTGAGTTTGATTCCTGCTACCAAAAAAAAAAAATTATTTTAAAGGAAGATAAAGTCACTATCAAAGTTGAAATCTCAGTTAGAGATGTGATCAACATGCTAAAATTTTCAAAGTGTTTCAAAATAAATTCAAAAATAGAAAAACAATTAGGCAAGGTGGTGCATACAATAATTCCAGCCAGCACTTGGGAGGTTGAGGCAAGATGTTCAAGTTTACTGACACACACACCCAAAAAGTTAGCAATACTTTTTCTCAAAAGAAAAAAATTATAAACATGGCTGGGGATGGAGCTGAGTGTGAAAGTCCCAGCTCTGATCCCCTGTTCTACTACAAGGGGAAAAAATGTAGAAAGACTTAATAAAGAGAAAAGATATAAATTAATACAAAAACATCTAATGAAAACACTAACCTCAATGACAAAGACTATGAAGAAAATAAAGAGTTCATTAAAAACTCTTTGATTTGTTTTGATGATTACCATTTTAAAATGATTACCATTTTAAAAATCTAAGAATCACCACTTAAAAACATGACAGCTATCAGAAACTCTACTCAAACAGTACCAATTTCAAATCCTGGTTCTGATACTGTGTTTTAATTTACATAAGATGTAACCCCTGGGGGAAACTGAGTCAAAGATATACAGGGACTCTGAAAAATATCTTTGCTGCTTATTTTCTGTAATGGCTCTATAATTATTTCAGAGTTTAAAATTTTTACACACACACACACAGAGACCTCTTTTACATGTGTCTGTTAAAAATCAAAGTGCTCATACAAGTGACCAACAGAAACACAGATCCAGCACAGCCCTCTCACCTGTTCCACGTATCCGTGACCCACATCCTTCCCTGACTCACAAAGGGATTACAGTAAGCAAAACTTCAGCCCTGATTTAAAACTCTCTGGCTCCACAATGAGAACTGCCAATCTTAAATAAACTGCACTGCCTCTGTTTGCCCTATACCCGCCCTTCCTTGTCCAGTAATCCATCCTCAAGTTCTGAGCAGCTGCAAGTGGCCCTAACAGCACACAATGGAACCCAAGTGACTTAAGGAGGCCTGAAAGTATCTGTTTCCTCCAGTGATTCATTTCTGTTTCATTAGAACAATTCACAAATGGCAAACAACTCTTTAAAATATTTGTACTCCCTGACCCAACAACTATCCACTAAGGAATCTGACCTTATAATTGCAAACTATTCTCAAGATAGACAAGACTACCCACTAGTGTCACAATGGAATACAGCTAATGCAAACAGTGACACATATTCTGATACCTGCACAGACTGGAAAGCTACCCAGTTGTTTAAATGATGCGCAACAAGTAACAGTAGCAGCACTAAACCCTAGTAACTTAAAAAATAAAATAAAAACCAAGAAAACAACAAGAAGCAAGATATAAAGCCTCTTGATTCCACATCTCCCACGCTGCCACTCATTTCCGTTCCCCTTGCACACACTGTCTGTACTTACTCAGAGTCTCCAGTTCCTAGTCTTCCATTCTCTCTCGTTCCTTTCAAGTTTCTGCCTGTACCTTCTATTAAAAATGCTCTTTATTACAAAAATGTATTACCGAATTGGTAATTTATTACCAAATCTGTTTTGACTCCATGGTGGTATTAGCCCTTCCTTTCTACTGATTAAAACTAAGAATTCCAAACATATTTTAAAAAACATTCATCAGAGCCTGAAAGTAGGCAAAGCAGACAGATGGTAGAAAGGGACCCAAACATGGAGAACCAACACACAAGAGTTTTGAGTTTCCGTGTCTTCTGTTTTTCTCAGTGATGTGCCCCAGCATCTCCCGCTCTTGGGTGAACTCTTGCCTGTGAATGCGGGTGTGCCTTCTGACTTGTTTCTAACCAACGGTGGTACAACGCATTCACTCTGTGCAGTGTGGGAGTTGCTGTTATAAGCCTAGTACCACAGCAGCCCTCCTGGGGGAGTCTCCCTCTCCCTTTGAAGAAGTAAGCTGCCAAGTTACGAGAAGCACATGACTCAGAAGGCAAGAAACAGAAAGTGACACTTAAGAGGTAGGAGAAGCCTGGAGTCAGCAGGCAACAGAAAAACAGTAATCCACCCCAAAGCCGAAAGACGGTAAATCCAAAGTACATTCAACTAGTGAGAATGGAGTATGTCAGCCATGCTTCAGCTGATACTACATCCCAGGTAACACCTTGCGGTATTCTGATCTCTTCCCAAGCAGAAGGCTCAGCCAAGCCATGCCGAGACTTCCTGCCCACAGAAACTGAAGTAGTCTAAGTGTGTTATTCTATCCTAAGCTCCTACAGACCCACAGAAAAGTACCACACCTGGCTCCAACCAAGGAAGGGAGCTGCAAGAAATACATGCAGCACAGCTGTGCAGGCAGCTACAACCCTGAGAAATCCTTATTTCTGACCAAACAACCAGAAAGTAAGTCCATGCTGGCCAGAGTATACAATGAGAAATCCTATGGGGGACAGAGCAGAGACTAGCCCTTACTTCTTTTTTTTTTTTTTTTTTTGAACAAGTGGTGTTGTTTTTATTTCTAGCCCTTACTTCTGCACGTGAATCTGCCTACAATCCAATTCAATCCAAGATTCATTATGTATGAAACTGATTCAACCAAAGAGACAAAGGCTTAGAGACCTGAACTGAGACATAAACCATCCCTCTAGCAGAGCTCAAATTAACCCCCATACAATTCATGCGTATAACAGATTCATATCTACATGCTGAAGGGTTAGGAACTCAATTCAGACTTGAGCCACCATCCACAGAAGGCAATGCACACCTTAGGACCAGAACCTAACCAGGTTTTGTGATAATCACATTTTCCAGACAAGTATAACGGGATCCAAAGACTACATGCTACAGTAGCCCCAACATCAAAAATACAATCTGTAATCACTTGACATTAAAAAAAAAGAGAGAAAACAGGGAAAAGTGGCCAGTTCTCAACCTTAATGGTAACAGGTACCAACAGTCAAATAACTTAGTTTCTGAAATTAAAGAGCTCACAGGATAAGCTCAATAGCAAAATGGAGATGATAGAAGAGTGACTTTCAAAAGAGAACAATTGAAACTATTCAATTTTTAAAATACAGAGAAAAATAGATCGGGGAAGAAATATAATCAGTGCTCACAGAGCTACAGTACAACATCAAAAGGGCAAAATATATATACAGATAACAATGTAAGTATACAGCAGTATCATGTTCACCTAACAGGACATATAAAACAAAAATATGCTAATATAAGAACAAAAACAAGGAAGAAAAATAGAAATATGTGACCAATTCTCAACAGAAAAGATAACAGATGCGAACAGTCAAGTAACCACAATACATTTATGTGTGCATGAGAGTATGGTTTTGAGATATGTGTGTATATATGTATGATATCGCACCTTTATCTATAAATATATTTGTGTAACTTTAAAGGTTTTTAATGTAATACTTAACTCTCAGTGCCACCTCAAATGATGAGGCAGGTGACCCTGTCTTCCCTGAAATTCTCCTCTACTCCAGTATGAACACACTGCATTCAGACAGCTTCTCGACTACACCTCCAGCAGCCCCTTCATGGGCATCTTTGCTGGGCTTTGCCCATCTCACTGACCATAACAACAGGGTACTTCAGATCTTTCAGTACTGTCCGCTTCTCCTGCTACTCCAAGAAGTTCAATGATCTCATCCAATCGCATGACTGTCAATGCAACCTACAGGCTGACCCTTTCCAGATTCACACACCAGCGCGGATTTCTCTGCTAACTCCACAATTATGCACCCAGCTGCCTGCTGAACCCCTGAACTTCTCGCACCTTGCTCACACTTGCTAAATCCAGCCTTCCTCATCTCACAGAATAGGGACTATGTCCTTCCAACCATGCTCAGAAAAAATCCTTAAAGTCATCTCTTCGCTCTCGTACACACACATCTAATCGGGCAGGAAACACTGGCCCTGTACTCCATCGACCCTTTTTCTCCACTTCACTGCAAACTTCCCCAGGAAGTCACTACCACTGACCTCAATTATCTCAGCCACATCCAAAGAGTCTCCCTGCCCTCCTCCTGCCACTCTCTTACAGCCTGCTTTCAAGGCAGCCAGAGTTCTAAAACCACCACATTATACCGTCCTGTTCTCAAAAACCATACACAGCTTCCGAACTCAGAACACAAGCAAAAATCTACACTTCAGTTTGCAAGATTCTGCAGAATCTGACATCCTCCTCCTTCCCACAGCACCCCTTTCACTCCTTCCTCCTCTGACTCACTGGTCACCACCACCCCCCCCCCCGCAGCAGATATGTTCCCACCACCCCAAGACCGTTGAGCTGGCTATGCTTCACTCTTTCTGCAGGAATAATCCTTCTCCTTAGAAACCTTTCTGAATGACTCCCTCAGCTTCCTCTGTCTTTGCTCAAACATCTTCCCAGGGAGATTTTCTCTAACCCTCCAGTCTACAACAGCAATGTCTATCAATACTGCCCAGCCTCAACCCTCTCTCCATCCATTCCTACTGACTTCATGTAAGTATATGCTTATTATCCTCTCCTAATGGAATGTAAAAAAGTTATGTCTGTTATGTGGATTTCTGTGTAATACGCAAACAGTGATGAAGGAAAAAACCACTTACTAATTACTACGTGCCATGCCCCCAGGAATCTAACTGCCTCACAGGGACTAGCCATACTCCTTACAATAACCCTATGACGCAGGTACTAATAATTAATGCCATTTTTCAAAAATAAGGCAAGAAGAAATTAAACATCCCAAAATCACACAATTAGAAGATAGCAAAGCTGGAACTATTATTATTCAGATGCTCTGATTCTCAACTCCATACTCTTAATCGTAAGGCTAGAAAAACCAAAACTCAATGAGCACTTGCTAAATAAATGGAAAATTGTGTATGCTTTAATCTCATTTTTAAAATGAGTATGGGTAGAGAGAATTTACAGCTACAAAAAGGACTAACAGAATACACAGAAAAGTGTTAACATTAGTGACTACGACTGAGAAGAGCCTGTGAGATGGTTCTCTCTCCATTGTTGATCTGTATTTCTAACTTTTCTACAGTGAGTTGTACTGCTTGGAGCTTATCACTGAAACATCCGACACAATTATACAAACTACACAGAACAAGGCACAATACATAAGCAATTATGAACAATTACAAACATAATTCAGTCCAACTTTGTAAAGAAGGAAAGTGAAAGAAGACAAGAGGAAAGAGATACGAGATAAGAAAGAGGAAACAGGAAAAAAGAAACAAACAAAAGAAGTTTTTTTAAATGAAAGATAAAAAACAAGTAGGTACATAAGTATGAAAGAGAAACTGGAGTCCTGCACATAGAAAGGTTAACAAAAGCATTCTAAGTTGCTAAGATGATAACTGATCTCGATTTGCTTTCTTTTCCATGTATTTCAAATAGGAATTATAAATGTTCAAAGCTCTTCACCTTAGTGTTCGTAGCTTTTTTCTAGAACTCCAATTTATTTTCTTCTGATACTAAATTAATCAATGGAAACTTAAATCTCTTCTCTACTTTAGGTAAATCTGAATAACTTCCCATAAAACTTAGATGTCCTGATCCTAGGTTTAAAAGAGCTGTATTAACATGTTGAAAACATCAAATGAACTAATAAAAATGATTACCTCGACTTGTGCTTGTTGCCTTGCTAAAATTATGTTAAAAACATCTAAAGTCTTCTCCAGGTCCTACGAAACAGAGACACTTGTAAATAAGGGAAATAATCATTAGATTAAAGTTTTCTTACAAGATTTCTAGGCTTATCTAGTTCATTACCAAAACTTGTGATATAATCAAACTGGAGCATATGCTAATCTTTGAAACCATTTAATTTTTACAGCAAGAAATTAAGTTTTCTAAGGAAGTATATCCCATTTAAACACCTTAAGAAAATAAGAACTTTTCGGTGAAACTTTAAAAATCACAGACAGCTTTACATGTACATGGCAACAAACATATTGAGAAAAAGGATTTCTTTTAGGTAGTAGCCTTACTTCTTACACTTCCTACTTTCCATATTATTTCACAATTATCATACTAAAGGCATCATTGCAAAACACACAAAATATTAAGAATATAAAATTCTGCAAGTCAGTAAGTAAGCTAAAGTAGAAACTGAATTTCAGAATTTACAATGAAGTATGTAGGAAGTATTTAACATTTCCCAGATGACTTGTATTTTAGGTCCTTTATGTATTATCTTATGCAATTCTCACAACTTGTAAGACAGGCTCTGTTTCTACTTCCTACCTCAGAATAACAGACTTAAGAAACTCGTGTCCAAGATCAGAACACTTCGTAAGCCCTGAGCCCAAATTCAGCTGACTCTGATACCTATGCCAATTCTAATATATTATGCTAGTGATTGTTACGTATTTTACAATACCACAAATTCAACTTGTACTTCGCATTATCAATCAGTGGCAGAAAGAGTTCTATAATCCAGATCATATGACAAATTATGTATTCAGTATATTTTCTATCTGTTATAAGAACAAATAAACCTCTGTCCTACCCCAGACTAAAAGCTGTTTTAAAAAATAATACCTTAAACTCTTTTTTAAAAAAGCCATGGTCACATAAATACGGAACTTTTAAGAGAAAAACATGTAAACAGAGCTAACTAGTAAATATATAAAAATGCTATTACAAAACCCTAAACATCTACCAAAAGGGTTTACAGTAACATTATTTCATCTGTTCTCAGGACTGGGAAAAGATTTTATTAAAGAAAAAAAAATGGGAAAAACATACTCTTAAATTTCCCATAAAATCCTCTCACAAGCTGTTCTAAAATTATATTTTAATTCAAATAAGTGAAGAATCAACATTAAAAGGTGATCAGACAATTAAGGGCTCTCACCACTGTGCACAAAGTATACCTGAATTTGTTTCTGGATTTCTTCCGAGAGTTTAGTCTGAGTTAGCTTATTCTTGTAAGCGATTTTATAACTCTTGAGTAACTCTCTATGCTTCTTTATGTTACACCATGACCACATCTGTGTACATCTTCTTATATGAACTTCAAGAACTGAATCAATGGCATACTTCCACCTGAAAATCAAAACTTTTTAATGCATATGCACATAAAACATTTAAGAGAAATCAAGGAAAATAGCTCTGACTTTTAGATATTGCACTGTTAAATATCTTGGAATAAAATTTCCACTCTAACAGTGTGTCTCAATTATAGTTCTCTGGCTTAAATACATTCAGAATGAACACCCTCCAGGAAGAAGGTATGCCAAAGCAAATCAACTCTTTGGCACCCAGCAGACCACATATGCCCTGGTGGTCCTGTAAGATTACAGACCCTCTTGCCCTCACAGCTATCCCAGTTCAGCAAGTTCAGGAAGTGAATACATACAGATACATGTTTCAGAAGTTACCGCCACTGCTAAGCAACACATGATAGTATTCCAGCATGGTTACAACCTTAGGTCCCAGTAAATGACTACAGAGAAAGCAGGGTTTTTTAAATGCTGAAAATCTTAAATACTAAGTTAAAAAATTTGGAACTATAGATGCAAGAATACAAAAGGATGTGCTTACCAAAAAAGTACCACAACCATATAAAAGATGTCCCTCCTTGGCTTTTGGAGAGGAGGGGAAGACCCTATTTTTTTCTGAGTGGGTATACTACATTGCTTACAGGTCTCTTAATTTTGACATATTGTATAATTATGCTTCTCATAAAATAAAAAAAGCAAGCTCATACTTACCATTGCCTACAATTGGTATGAAGTGGTAAATTAGGTTTATATTTCCTATAAGGTACATTTCTAACCATATAATCCAACGATTCCAAAAGGTCAATCATACTTACGTACTATTAAAACAAAACAAAAAACCAGGTTCATTATATTACACATTTTCAATAAATGTCAAATTTTATTATATTTTTTACTCTAAGACTTCTTCTCTGAACTTCTTAACAACCTAGTTCTACTTATTTCTGAACTAGTTTATTTTTAAAACTATTTCCATGTCTGCTGGATCATAACTTCACTGGTAGCTATCTATGAGTTAATTTTCAAACTGCTCCAGGAAACCGCTATGCAACTAAACAGGATAAAACTAACTAACCAACTAGCTTACCACCATCACAACAATGTGCGGATTTCAAACACTTCAACACTTCAAACGGCACGGCACGAGATATACACAGAGCGAACTCAAATGCAAGCAAGACCAAAGAAAAGGCAACTTCAGTTTGCTCCTTGCCAATTTTCTTAAAGCAATTCAACGGTTACGTACATTCATGTCTAGTGCGAACTTAAATGTATTTAAATTAAGAACATATCTGTATTTCAAAGACTGAGGGGGAGAGAAAAGATGTAAAATATTTCTTTGAAATTTTTTATGATGACAAGTTGCAATGATAAGATTTTGGAAATATTAAGCTAAATAAAATAGGTTATTAAAGTTAATCTCATTTTTTTGCTTTGCTAATGTAGCTAACCAGAACATCTAACATTACAAAAGTGCTGTATAATAACTAGACAGTACTGGGCTAAACTCTCTTGGCCAAATCTCATACCTAAATCTGCAACTCAAATCAGTCATACAACTATACTTGGGAAACAAAAAGAAAAAAGCTGCCAAGACACTTATTTTACAAAATAGATAACACTTAACATGAAGGTCTAGTGTTAAAAACTAAGAAAGGAAAAACCACATTAAAATTTAAATAAATGAAAATATTATTCATTATAGTTTGATAAGATTCTGCAACATCTAAAGTCAGATAAATGAAAAAAAATTCTTCAGCTTGAAATTTTTTTTTCAGAAAAAGATTACTTGAAAAGTCAAATCTCCACAAAACAAACAAAGAGAACCAACAGATTTCACAAAAGAATCATCACAAAAGACAAAAGCGACCTAGATTCAAAACTACTAACGTGCCCTTGCATCTCACCTGGGGCTTGGTCAGCTCAATGGCAATATTCTGCACTTCTATGCTCCAATCTAATTTGGGAGTTTTGAGTTCTACTTCTGCATGAGGATTCATGTAGAGTTTTGCAGGAAACTGGCTGGATATTGGCTGGAAAACTGACATCACATGAGAAGATATGAGTATGTTTATACACCCTTACATATGAACAACTTAAATAATCTGAGAGCACTATTATTTTAGAAGTAAAATGATCGAAAATAAAATAAAATCACTCCCAAAAACATGTAAAGTAGCTGTTCATCTTCACCCTGCCAATAAATGTTTGTATACACACTGAAGTCCTGTACTCCTAGGTAAGAAATGTACATAACACAGTCTACCTTTGGCTACTCAGTCTGTATAAAATTAAGTTTCTTTACCCTTGCACAAAGCATTTAATACACTTATTATTCACTAAATATACTAATAAAATGAAATAAAATACAATTAATTTTCCTTAATCATTGCTAAAATTTAGGAACAGAATCATGAATAAAATTAAATACCTAAAAGACACCACTACTTTATGATTTTTAAAATACTCATGACACATGTACTATTACAATGAAATAAATAATGTAATTTGGAGGCTGAAAAAAATGTGTATTAGCAAAGATGATAGCTCAAAGCAAGGTGATAAGCTTTGTGAATATAATTTTAACTGTTACAACACTTTATGATGCTCATAAAATTATGAAAAGTGTTAACTTAGCTGCAAGATATAGATGAGCCCAAAGAATGAAGCTGTAGTGTTTTTGTATTCGTTTATCCATCAATGAAACTAAATGCTACTGCAGACACAGCTGCAGCACAGTGGCTGCCCTGAGTTTGATTCCCAGTAACAAACCCACCTCCATCCCTGCAAAAAAACTAAAGGCTTTCACAAACAGCGCTTGAAAACTACCATCACTAAGGAGAGGAGTATGAGTAGGATAGAAAGTGACAACCATCATCCAACAGCAAGAGAACAGGAAGAAGACAACAGAAGTAAACCAGTCGAATACACAATATGGAAGAACACAGGTACAAAAGCTGAGGACAGTTAGGGCCATAACTCAGCGGCTAAGTACCTGCCTGGTAAGCGAAGGTCTTAAAAGTTCAATTTTAAAAAAGCTGAGGACAATTACAAAGGGACACAATAAGCAAAAGCAAACCAATACCTTCTTTAGAATGAAACTGAAATAGAGAAAATATGGGAAAGACACCTTTCAAATAAAGGTGACATTGTCAAAAAACAGAAAAGCTCACTTTAAAAATATGGGCAGATTTATTTTGCAAGAATAGTGGCAGCACAGAGGAGGAATGCTTAATACCCAGGGGTCAGAGACTTGGTTATCTTTTATAAAGAAAGAAAAAGAACTGCTAAGTCCTAAAATGAGTACAATTACAAGGCATAAAGAAAACATGGAAGCCAAAGAAGGTTGGCTACAAGGAGCTGACGGCTTTCGGGCCCTCCTGCCTCCTTCTCCAGCAGATGCCTTTCGAGCTATTCCCAAGCAGCACAGCTCTCTAGCCATGAAATGAAGGCATAAAATGAGTGTGCTCTTCTTGTCCACATAACTTAATAAGGAAGTGCGGTAAAATATTCCACTACAACTTACTAGTACTTACTGTATTGATGGTTTGGAGGTCTCTGTCTACTTGGTAAGAATTTCATTTTTAAGTTGATCCTAAAGAAAGCATTTAAATTTTTTGAGACTAGAAAAGAAGCTGCAAACAGATTCAGCCACATATACGAGAAACAACTTGGTTATTACATCAATATTTTTATTCCTCTCTTTGTAACTAATTAGTCTATAGGAAAAACATGCTGAGTATCATTTACAGATATATTTCTCTAGCATACTAAAAATATAGAAAGTGGTAATTTTTAAAACACTAAATGTCTACATTGTAATATTATTTCCCCCTTTTTTTCTTTTTTGAAGTCAGGGTCTCACTATGTAGCTCAGGCTGGTCTTGTGCTCACTCTGTACCCGTAAGGTGGCCTCAAACTCAATGGTCCTCCTGCTCAGCCTCCCGAGTGCTGGGATTACAGGCATGTGGCATCACACTGCCCCTCTCTCTGACTTTAAAAAAACCCATATATATGTATACTCCTACAAATTTCTAGTCAAAGGTTAAGTTATTTACTGCCATGAACACCAGCATAAGAACATGTTTAAGTCCTACTTTTGGTCTTTTTAGTTGTATACCCAGACCACACATTAAGTCATTTTCATCACTTCGCCACCTTTTAAGGTACAACACATGTTTTTAGCCAGGCATGGTGATGCACACCTCTAATCTCAGCACTTGGGAGGCTGAGGAAGATCTCTGTTGAGGTCAAGCCCAGTCTAGACTACATAAGTTTAGAGCCAGGCTGTAGTAATACACACTGAGATTTTGTCTCAAACACACTCACATACACACACACACACACACACACACACAAAGTACACACACAAAATACACACTACAATGCATTCTGACATGGAGTATATTCATGACATTATTGTTGCGGTAGAGATAATAAATATACTCATCATCCCAAGTTTCACTTCGTCCCTTTACAAGCCCCAGTTCCTCCCCACCACTGACTTCCAGGCAACCACGGATTTACTTTTTGCTCTACAGATCATTTGCAGTTCCTATGCTTTTTTTAAGAAGTACAGTATGGTTTCTTTTAGCCAGCGTAATTATTTTAACACTGGTCCTTATTATTGTATTAATAATTCTTGCCCTTTAACTGGATGTAGTATTAATCATCTAATAGACATTTGGGTTGTTTATAGTTCTTACTCTTAGAAGGTACCCTGAACATCTGTCCATGTTTCTGTGGATATAATTCTCTTCTCTTGTGGATAAATAGAGGACAAACACTCAGTGTAACATTAGCTACGAGAAACTGACAGACTGATTTACAAAATGATTTTACCAATTCGGCATTCTCACCAGCTTCGTATAAGAATTCCAGGAAATTATAACATTATCTCACTTTGGTTTTCACTTGTATTTCCCTACAGAATCAAGATGTTTATACATCTTTTCATGTGTTTGTGTGCCCTACAGAATTTCTTAGGTGATGAGTTGGTTGACATCTCTTTCCCTATTTTCTTGTCTTTGTTTACAATATTCATAATCATTGTCAAATAAAATATTACAATCTAAGAGTGCCATTAAAATGAGTATAAAAGCCCAAATGAAGTTTTTAAGTTTTATAGGTTCTTACATCACTATGTAGCGAACAATTTCACAAAACATTCAAATCAGAAACTATCTTGAAGGCATACAGATTTCAACACTGTTTTTCACACTTCCAACTCAGTGACATACAAGTTAAACAAAGGACTGTGGCCTGTCCTCATTGAGGGGCTCTGTCATACAACATAATTAGGGAGTGGAGGTGGCTCTTCCAAAATTACCAAGATCTGTTCTCGGGACCCCAAGTAGGACAGACGGCAGTTCACATTCCAGCAAGCACTGAGACTATCCAGTTGGATTAGCTAGGAAAGAAAAGAAAAACTGTCAAGCAATGAACAAACACAAAAGATAAAGCAAACTATGGTAGAAGACTACGCTCATGTTCACAACCCTGAGATTAACCAACTGCCACTTTGAACTTTTAAAGAAAATAATGCAAAGTTAAAGGAAAATATGTTCACAGTCTCTATTATTAAGCTTAGTATTTGCTAAACTGTGTGCCCAAGAACACAATTTCCAAGATATTCATTCATTCAACTATCAAACTGACCGGAGTTTAGCAGTTAGCAGATCCAGGAAACATTCTACTAGACACAGAAGAAATGACACCTCTGGCAGACACCAGCGACTGTCTCCAAGGGAGGGGAGGGTGGTGCCAGAGCATCTCTAACCAACACAGTGAGGACCGCTAACACTATGAACATTGCAGTAGGAGGTTCACTGCACTTATTAGCATATTAAAGTACCTTGAAGCCCTTAGCTTACAATAAAATGAAACACACCTGTCTAATTACAGCGTGCTTGCTACTTAAAATTAGTAGCCTCACTTAACCAGAGAATACTTTTCCTACAAAACCTAACAGCATCTCTGACTTACATGAGATACTGTCGTGCGCTCCAGGCCTCCAGTTAGACTCATGGAGGGCACTGCCATGAACTCTAGGTCTTCAGCTAGGCTTGCGCAGCCAACTGAAGGTGCACACAGATAGCAGAGTTGCGGGATCAAGACACAGGATGGCAGAGTTGTTGAGCCAGGACGGCTTCTGCCTAGATTTCAGAGCAAAGCAAGTGTGCTCCTAAGAGGGCAGTGTGTAAAAGGTTTGAGTGTAAAGCAAAAGCAGAGGGGGTCAAGAGAGAAGCCCTAGGTGCCACTACCATCAGAAGTGCCATGGGGCAGTCACCCAAGCCCTCTGGAGTTCACAACTTGCCACAGATTGCCTCCAAGGCTGGACATGGAACTACAGGAACTATAGGACTTAATGTTTGCCCTGCTGGATTCTGGACTTGCTTTGTCCCATTCCTTTATACCCTGCTTGTACATTTTGGAATGGAAATGCCTGTATTGTGCCATTGCATCCTGGAAGTTTAAGTCTCTTTTCATTCATACAGAGACTCACAGCTAACAGTTTGCCTTAGATCTTGAGAGACACTTGAGACTTGGACTTTTCAGCAATGCTGGAACTGTTAGGACTTCAGCAACTCTTAGCAATGGACCAAATGTCTTTTGCATAAAGAGATGTACATGAGTCTTTGGGGGGCGAGGGGCAGAACGCTATGGTTTGTGTCTAGATGTCCCCCAAAGCCTTATACAGTCAGAAAGACTGGCTTTCCAGTGGTGACTGAATCTAGAGTTGTGATTGATTCATCGTCTCCTGTTGGGATGGGGGGTGTGAGTCTACACCCAGCCTAGGGTAGGCAGCCCACACACAATGTAAAAGAACAGAAGAGGCTTGCTCCTCTTTTGCTCATTTCTTTGGCTGTCTTCCACCACCATGAACGGTTGCCCCTTTCCCATACCACCCCGAGACTTAGAACCAGCTGATTATGGACTGAAACCTCCACAAACTGAGCTAATAAACCTTTACTTCCTTTAAAAAAATCTAATAGTATCTCAATTACCTAATGCTTCATAAAATACCATATTCTTCACCTTACAGACGAACAACCTAAGATTGAGAGTCACACAGTAAGAAGCAGAGCCAGAACTAGACTTTGGACTTTCAATTCACCCCAAGAGCACATTCTGCTCCACCATTTCAAGGAAAGACATTAAGTACTTGCACCTAGAAAACTAACAAAAGAATTTTTACTCTAATAATAATAATACAATACCTTGTATATAATTTTTTCTGCTTCATTTAATATGCATGGAGTCCAATTCTCATTTGTAGTCTAAAAGAAAAAGAATAACTATGAAATGTGGTATATGACAGTGTTTTAGTATCCTCAAGTAGAAACAAAATAACACATAAAGAAAACATACTTAGCTACTGTTGGCTAGTGTTACCTAATTCTTTATGTATCTGCAAGGCAAAATCAAAGGAACTGTGAAACATAACTTGGGTTCACTCCTTTAGGAAATTACAGTTAATGTGTGAATGGAAGAAAGAATTGGGTATGAACAGAAACAAGAAAGCCTGCCTGTATTCTGTTGAAGAAGGCACACACTTTTAAAAGATACTACTTTCTGTAACATAGAAAGCAAACCAGAAAAGCATGGGAATGACAGCAGGGCCATGTGCCCTGCAAGGACAGCATAGCCAACAATGCTGTTTGGACCCGATTTAACAGCCAGCACATTACTGATGACCTTGCTGAGGACAAGAAAGGGGGAAGGCACAGGTAGTAAATTCCAGAAAAGTGTGGTTGTATAAGAGAGAGAAGGCAGTAGTTTCAGGGCCTGAGAGGGACTGGGGACATTAAGGAGGGGCTTTTAGCTGTGTGATAAAGAGGAGCCATGCACATGTTTAAGTGTGTGGGCAGGAGGAGATGAAGATTTAGGAGAGGGAGACTGACGTAAAGCAGAAAGATGGGATGCTAGGGCGGGACACAGGTTTCTGAGGGTACGAGGCCTGAATAGAGCGGGAGGAGGATGTTAGGTTGAAAGGTTAGACACACCCTAGTTTCCCTGTTCATTGATTAATTCCTGTCACTGGTTGTCCAGCTCTCTTTTTCACTGTTCTGCCTCACTCTTCCACTGCATGTACCTATATACCTGCACTTCCTGGTGTGTGCTTTTAGGACTGCTCCATCACCACATCTCTCGGTTTCTCTGCCAGTAACCCTCGTTCACGTTTCCTCCTCGCCTTCCCTGAGGTCCTCGCCGTCAGTGGCAAGTCTCCCGTATGACTTATCATCCACCGCCCTTGAGTTTAACTGTATATGCCGTTTATTTGTAGAAAAGCCTTATGCAGCTGTTTTTCCTCATTTCTATGCCCTTCCCCCGGCAAATGTTTCCTACAATTGCCCTAAATACAAGCAAGTCCAATCTATATATATACAACTGTATTCTCTAGCAAAGAAACAAACCTATTTATGAAATAACCAAACTGAATCACTTATGTGTCTCCCAATGTGACAGATCTACGTAAATACATACACATGCACAGCCACCTAGAAAATCCATTTACCTGTATCAAGTGGTAGCACTTAGCCCAACATACACTTTCCACCCCACTTTTCGCACATATTAAGATAGTTCTTATTCCTTTCAGACTGTTTGCTATTTAGATATATTTGTAAATTTAAATTTTAAAATTTAGTATTTTAAGTAACTTTTAAAATTGGTATTTAGATCTACTTGTGGTAAGAAAAATGAAAATGAAAGAATGTCATGTAATAAGAGCATCACCAAAAATGTTGAATTTCTACAAAACTGCAGCAACCTAATATAAAAAATGCATTAGCTAGTTGCAGACATAGTTGATTTTAGGCAATTCAGCTTATGACTTCACAGCGATATTTCAGAGGTTCCACCAAAATCAAAACCAAGGCAACATTACCAGTAGACTAAGGCTCCCCCAGGGTAACACCAAATGAGAGCGGCCGCTCCGGATCAGTGACCTGCCAAAGGAAAGGGACATCAGGATACATGGAAAGTGATGGTGACCTGTGGCCCATCCCTTCCAACAGTGGTGGGGAAAAATGATTATAGGTGAGTCATACAACCCAACTGACAGGAAGGAAAGAAAGGCCCGGAAAGAGCAGGTCAGCACCCATAGCACCAGGGACAACACACTTCAGGATCTAATATGCTTTCCCAGGTTCAGAGACTCAGTAACCATCGCTAACAGAGTCCTAGAGAGAGTTAAGGAGAGACCGTCTTCAAGACACTCAATAACACTGCCACTAACTCCTTTTTATAACACTTAAAATTGTCATAATTAGAAACACAAATTGCTTCTTTGGGCCTTTACTTTTCTTGACAGTGCTTTCTTACGAAGCATTTCTACAATGCTTTGTTAAGAAAAATTAGATTAATATTTAATTTCCTGTCTTTTCATTCAAAATCTACCCATGTTAAACTTTTGTTTTATTCCTGAACTTTTGGTGTAAGTTATATTTACAGAGTGTTCAGAGCTTTCCACAGGATGCACAGACATTATCTGAGACATCTTGAAGACAGTCAAGTTACCAAGAACCACTGCATTGGGCCAGGGATGTAGCTCAGCAGCGCCAACACCTGCCGCAAGCACAAGGCCCTAAGTTTGATTCGTGGCACCCAAAAGAGAGACAGAAAAAAAAAAAAAAAAGAATCACTTGATCATGATAGAAATGAGCAAAGCACAAAGAAATACTAGTATAATATTCTAAGTAACCCAAGACCCCAAAATTTTACCACACGCTCTTCTTAAACAGGAAAAATGCATATACGCCCTCATATAGTTGATACTGTGCACTCTTAGCCTTACTTGTAATTAACGCAGGTAATGATTTATAGCAAAACACTTCCCTATTTCCTTACATTCATCTTTTTGTACCTACAGATAAAATAATCTGTGGCTATTTCAGAAAGAACTTCAACAACACACAACTCCACAATCTCCACTACCCTATTCACAATTACTATTAGCCAGTGAGCACGTTTATGATAAAAAATACTTTCCCATTGATTTTTTGTTTTATGAGAGAAAGTCTCAATATATAGTTCACACTGGTCTTAAAACTAAGTAGCCCAGGGCCAGGGATTTAGCTCAGTGGCGTAAGCACCTGCCTGGTAAGCTCATGATTGTGAGTTCGATCCCTGCTACCAAAAAATAAAAAATAAAAATAAAATAAGAAACTATGTAGACCAAGCTGACCTCAAGCTCGTGTCAACCCTCCTGCCTCAGTTCCCCAAGTGCTGGAATTACACACATGTGCCACCACGCCAGGCTATTTTTCCCACCTCTTACATTCTGTGTTTCTCATAGCTTTTTAGCTGTAACAGGAACTCTTTATGCTTTGTAATGTTCTTCTTTAGATAGTTCTAAAACATTTTTGTCACCAATTAAAACATGACAGATGTTACTTACCCTATTCCTGTGCATCTCTTTTTTACTAAAAGGAAAGAAATAATGTACCTTTCTAATTATACTGGGTCAGTAAAAAGCTTAGTTTAGGTTCAAACTGAGGCCTTCATCCAATAATATGTCAGAGTGATTTTTTGCTATTTTCCAAATTGACAATGTATATATCCAATTCCAAGTCCACACATTTGTTTACTATAAAATGATGTGGCTTTTGGGCTGGGGATTTAGCGCAGTGGCATAAGCACCTGCCTTGCAAGCAGGCAGTCGTGAGTTTGATCCCCAGTACCGATAAAAAGGAAAAAGACAAAAAAAAAAAAAAAAAAAAAAAAAAAGAAAGAATGAAAGAAAGAAAAATGTGGCTTTCAACAATCTTTTCTCTTAACAGTCCACTTCTTATCATTAGGGAGTTTTGTGTTCATTTACGTATTTCCAGTAAGTAACTTGCTTTGCCACCATCAGTATCTGAGGGTTCACATTTCTTCATAGTTTTAACAAAATCTTTCACTCTCCTGTGTTATTTTTGTGTGTTAGAACATGAGCTTTTATAATGTGTTTTGTAAGACATTTATGTTAATGAAATTCATCTGAATAAACTCCGTAAAGCCAGTGTATAAACCTACTCTAAAATAGAGATCCTTTCTGAAAAGCTACCAGTGTGCTTGAGTACTAAGCACAGAGAGCTAATCAGGAAATGAAAATATACCTACTGTCAGTACTGTTTAATTCAAACCCAAAACAAAAAAGAATGCAGATGCATTTTTAGAAAGATGGACTAAGATTTCCCCTTTCTTGAGTAAATAATAAAAGCTAAAATTTCTAAACCAAGAGCATTCTACCACTGAACTACACTCCCTGCCCTTTTCTAACATTATATGGACACAGGATCATGCCCAATTGCCCAGCTCACCTCAAACTTAAAATCCTCCTGCCTCAGCCTCCCAGGAAGCTGGGATTATTCCAGTGGACCCCACCCCTGGTTTATTTCAAGCTTTAAACTCAGGGAAACAGACACAATTCAAGATACATTATACTTTAGCTAAATTCTTATCAACTAATGGTAAGCTTTTGGTCATAAGTGAAATTTTTGGTTTCTAAGTATAATGTCGCATATTGTAAGTAGCTGTGGGTGGCTTAATCCACTGAGTAGAAGGGAAAGAGAACGGCACCACACTCAGACGACCATTGTTTTAGTCCCTTTCCTATGGATGACCACTACCACTGGTTATTTAATAAACTCCAGGAACTAACTGCTCAGATCCTTAAAGTTATCAGTCTTAACGCATAAAACAAAATTTTAAAAAACAGAGGACAACACGTGGTGGTTTCATGTCACCTTTACATATGTGCGTACTCAATGAAAAGAGCCCAGTGCAGAAAACACATGCAAGAACATTAATCTCAGATTCTGGGGAGATACGAGAGTCAGGCACAAAAGCAAATGCCTCTACTGACTGCACTGAGATGACTGAAGCACGAGGGGCACAAGTTCAAGTCCTGCATGGGCCCCTTCACAAGACACTCGAAAAATTTTTAAAAGGTCTAGGACTGTAGTTCAGTAGTAGAGTAACTGGGTTGGATCTGCAGTACTGCAAAAAATAAAAAATAAATCATGTTGGGTACAGATGAACCATACAAACCAAGACTATTATATAATATACATTTGTTAACTTAAACCAAATAATTGAAATTACTTACATCATCTTCATATTTAATGTGAATGTCTGTGATTTTCACTTGTACATTTTTTATTATTTGAGTTGCCAATTTTTCCAAAAATGTATCCTTTTTTGCTTCCTTAGGCTTATCTATTAAAAACAGAAAACACAAGCTCAAGCCGTGCCGTTCTCACAGCACCATGTAACGGACGCCCGAAGGAGAGGTAGGGACAGCTCAGAGGAAATTACACCTGCCCTAGCGTCATTACTTTTTCTCAGATTTAGTTTAGATTTTAATGTGATTTTCAACTTGAAATTCATACTTGAAATTAAATTAGAAGCTAACATTCATTTTACCTTCTGAGATAGATCAAGTGGCAATGTGTGTAAACAACACATGGCATAAAAACTACTTTTACCTACCTTTTGAGCGATCAAGACCTTTAAAACGTTTCTTAAAATGTTTTTTGTGCTTTTTACGCTTACGTCCTTCTCAGTGGAAGCATATTAGTGAGAAAAGGATAAAATTCAAGTTAGCAGACAAGAGGATAGAAAAGAAAATAAGAGAATTCTTCCCAAAAGCAAATTTTGGTATGATTCAACTTACTCTAATCAATACAAACACAAATTCATAGACCTCCTTTAATTTACAATAACATTTCTAGTAAAGAATAACCTTCCTTAATCTAGAAAATAACCTAAAGGTACAATTATACAAAAATGGGATAAAATATTCACTTGCAACATCCTTTATACATTACTTATTACTTGACAAAAGTTCCCCTTCGATTTTAGTACTACCAAAATATTGGAAATGTAATAATGACAGAACTTTCAGAGGAAGGTTTGGATAAATGTGTGGCAGGAACACAAGTGAAATGGGTGGGCAGGATGCCGACAGATGACTCCCCAGATGATCCGCCTCGCAAACAAAACCCATGAGTCAAGGATGCAAAGAACATGAGAGTGACAGGAAATGCTCACAGAACCATGCACTGAACTGCCTTAGTAATTCCCTTAAACCTCATCCTTGGTTACTTAGCAGTGACTCAGTGAACTCCAGAATTAACCGACACCCGCCTCTCCCAAGCCCAACTTCCAATCCTTCACCCCCAGCTGCCCGCTGGGCATCACCTCCAGTTCCAAATCTGAGGTGGCCTCCGCATGGCTGCCCTGCTTCCTGCCTACTGAAGGCCCTTCTTTCCACCCACCATGTAGATTTCTTCTGAATACTACCCACAGCCTGTTAAGCCCTTGTTCAAAATTAGTTAAAGGCTCTCTGACGCCTGCCAGATAAAATTAAATCATGTTTGCCTGACAAAAAAGAGCTCTTTTGTGATGTAACCTCAGACATCCCTGTCTGCTTCTATCTCCAGCCACTCATCTTCATAATGGAAACTTCAGGAATATTATTTGTAATTTCCAATACAAGCCGTACTTTACAAAGTCTACTGTGTAAAATATCATTCCCTAAAGCTGGATTGTCCTCCCAGAAATTACCTTCTAGCAAACTTCTAGGAGACCGGGAAACCTCAGGCTCAGCACCTCTGTCTGGGTGTAGCCTTACTTAACTCCTCTAAGTAATGTGGGGTCAAGTCTCACTTGGAATTCCAGCAAACACAGGGAATCCCAGCACTACACTGCATTCACGGTGTTTACACAAGTCCCTTGCCCTGAAGCAGGAGGTTTCCTCTGGCAGTCTGTTTGTTTTAGGGCAGGGTGTAAAATCTAGGCACTGTTAAAATGAATTCAAAAAAACCCACATGTAAACATTATAACAAAACATATAAAGTCTATGTAACAAATTGACTTGTTGATTAATTGTATTGCTATACATAGACTGCATGTTATACATACATTTGAGAGCATATACATGAAATTTAGCTTGAAATTTTACTTTGTTTTCTTGATATTTGTAAACTGTTACACTACTAAATTAAGAATCAACTTCAGTTTATAAGACTAAAATCCCAAGTTTCAAGGAGAAAATATCTACTAAAATATGTAACAGAATCTGGGTAGTACTAATAATAGTATTTCTAGTCACAGTGATAGTCTGGACTCTATTTCATTCATAAATTAAAAATACATGCCAGGCATGGTGTGATGCACCCCTATAATCTTAGCACTTGGGAGGCTAAAGCAGGAAAATGAAGGCCAAGTTCCAGGTTACCCTGGACAACATAACGAACTCAGGCCAGGTTAAACTACATAAGGAGATCCTGTCTCAAAAAACAAAATTAAATAAATAAATAAAAAGACTGAGTTCTCAAATACCATGTGAAAACAAACAAGTAAGACACTAGCTCTGAAAATCATTCTACCTGGCTAGAACAGCAGGGTCTCTTCTTGTCTGACCTGTCCTTGTTGTTCCAAGGTTGTTCCAGCCCCTTGTCACGTCTCTGAACTCCATGTTAGAGATGCCACATTACACTTCTCTGAACGGTTTCACAGCTGAGTACTACATAGTTCCTTAGAGAACATTTCTAACTAATCTGGTAAATAATAAATCTATTATTCTCAATCATGCTCTAAAGCAGTTTTCAAATATTTTGGTCTCAGGATCCTTTGACACACTTAAAACCTGAGGCTTTGAAAGAGTTTTTATCTTTTGTGGGTTGTAACTTACTGACATTAATTATGCTGGAAATCTAAAACAGAATTTTTGAAGTATTTTTGATTAATTCACTAAAAAAATAATAAACTATTACATATATAATTACACAGACAGCATATAGTTAAGAAGACAAGCATATACTCCTAAACAAAAACTTGGAGTGAGAAAGAGTCACACGGTTACAACCCTTTTAACAACTGGCTCTTTTTTTTGCTTGCTAATAAAGCAAAAAAATGAAATATTTAGGAATTACTCTTACGAAAGAAGTGAAAGACTTATACAGTGAAAACTATATTACACTGAAAAAGGAAATTGAAGATGATCTCAGAAAATGGAAAGACATCCCTTGCTCATGGATAGGAAGAACAAACATTGTGAAGATGGCCATTCTCCCAAAACTCTTATACAGATTCAATGCAATCCCAATAGAAATACCATCAACATACCTTATAGATCTAGAGAAATCACTCCTAAATTTCATCTGGAACCAGAAGAGACCTAGAATCGCAAAAGCAATTCTAAGCAGCAAAGACAAAGCAGGAGGCATCACAATCCCTGACTTGAAATTATACTACAAAGCAACAGTAGTAAAATCAACATGGTATTGGAATCAAAACAGAGCTGAAGATCAATGGAATAGATTAGAAGATACAACCACAACTACAAACACACTCAACCACCTTATCTTTGATAAAGGAGCCAAGCAGGTTCACTGGAAGAACGACAGTCTCTTTAATAAATGGTGCTGGAAAAACTGGCTCTCCATTTGCCGAAAACTAAAGCTAGACCCATGTCTATCACCATGTACTAAATTAAAATCTAAATGGGTCAAAGATCTGAATATTAAAACAGAAACGCTAAATCTATTGGAAGACAAATTGGATAGAAACCTTGGAGACATAGGAGTAGGTAGAGAATTCATGAATAGGACTCAAACTGCACGGGAAATACTTCCCAGAATCAATAACTGGGACCACTTCTTATTAAAAAGTTTTTGCATGTCAAAAGAAATCTCCAGCATAGTGAAAAGAAAACCCACAAACTGGGAAAAGATTTTAGTGAACTCTCTCTCAGACAAGGGACTCTTGTCTAAAACATATAAAGAATTTAAAAAACTCAGACCTCCAAAATTCAAAGATCCAATCCAAAAATGGGCATCTGAGATGAATACGCAATTCTCAGATGAAGAAATGCAAATGGCAAATAAATACATGAAAAAATGCTCAACAAATGCTGGAGAGGCTGTGGGGAAAAAGGAACTCTCCTGCACTGTTGGTGGGAGTGTAGACTGGTACAGCCTTTGTGGAGGTCTGTCTGGAGGTTTCTCAAAAAGTTGGGATTGGAAATCCCATTTATTCCAGCTATTCCACTTCTAGGCATATTCCCAGAAGAACTGAAAGCATCATACCACAGGGATATATGTGCACCTATGTTTATAGCAGCACAATTTGTAATCGCCAGATCTTGGAAACAACCCAAGTGTCCATCAACTGAGGAATGGATAAAAAAGTTGTGGTATTTCTATACAATGGAGTATTATTCAGCTATAAAGAAGGATCGCATTGAGATATTTATCAATAAATGGGCGCAGCTTGAGACCATACTCATAAGTGAAATAAATCAATCTCGCATGTATGAATACCGAATAGTTTCCCTAATGTAAGTAATGATTCAAATATATAAAAATATGTGATAATCATGATTCCCCATTATGTGGCCTTGAAGCCTTATAAAATTTTCACTTATTAATTAGAAAGGCTTTATTCTGGGCTTTTTGATATGGAAATATTTGAAGCTATAGTATATGAAGTTTTATCCAAATATTTTAAGGAAAAAGACAGACACTATGGTAACTACTATTCTTTAAAAAAATTATTTAGCTATTTCTTATGTTTATTTTAATTAAGGGAAAAATTTAAAAAATTAGGATATATAGTAGTAACTCTTTTTGATCTCCTATTAACTTGTTTTGAAGTCCTGTAATACTCCCAAGATCTTGTTTTGACTGATTAGACTCTGGTCCATTCTGTGCGATAGTAGCAAGTTTGAAGGTATAGGCAACTAATTTGAAGGCAATAAGATTCACAAAGATGCCCATTCTGGTTTGACTATTGTCTCCTTTGGAAGTCCTGTAATGTTCACAATGCCTAAGTTTTATTGGTCTTGTTCTCCACTGTTTTGTCCAACTTTATAATATCTAATGAGATAGACAATTCCTTTTAAGGAAACAAGAGACAATGTTGATAACCATTGTTAATAACCTTGTACTCTGTTCTACATCATGTGCTATGTCTATCCTTGGTTTTGACTGACAGCTTTGTTTTGCCATATTTGACTTTATTCTCTCCCCCCCACAAAAAAGTAATAAGAACTAAGGAGTAATAAAATCCAAAATGTGTAAATTTTGTTGTAAAAAAGAGAGGGAGGGAAAAAAAAAGAGCTCTAACGGATATAACAGCAAGTGTGTTTAGGGATGTTAAATTAGCTGACTATATTAATGTTTTTGGATCATTGAACACAGCTGTTTGCAGTCTCTCTGTTTGAATGTCTACTTTGTATTCTTTGATACTGTGATTTGAGCAACTATTTCCAAGATGATAATATGTAATCTATTAACAGGTGATTTCTTACTGTTATGTTTTTTTTTGTAGTTCTGTATTATGTGTAACCTTACACTGCTTTGTTTTGTTTTGTGTTTTTCTCTTTTTCCTCTTAAATTAAAAAAAAAAAACAGCTGGCTCACGACACAGCTGGATTCATGTGTCGCCTCTAATTCAATCTTTTGAGATACGTTGTTCTGACTGAAGGATATGGCAAAAACATCATTTCACTACAGATACACAATGGGAAAGACAAATATTTTCATGACCTTTCCAAGTAATTATGAATACAACATTCCAAGTGGTAGTCTCTTAAAGGCAGTTGTCTCATGAAATCTAAAACATTATCAATGAACTTTTCACTAGCATTAAAATCAATTGGTTTGCTCTGCACTTTAACCTTTTAAATGATTTATTTCTATTCATTACTAGTGCATTTGGAAATGTTGCTTATCTGAACTGTGCAAACCTGTCCAATGTTGGGTCATTTCCTTATTTAATATCCAAAGTCCTATCAGTTACTATCACCAACAGTCTCATCAGAAAAGTCTTCTAAGTATTAAGAAATGTCAAGCTCAAAGTAGCAAGTGTAAGGTTTTCAAAACTCTTAAAGTATTCCTCAGTTACTTTGTTCCATCGAACAACTCCCAAATCTGAATAATGATAATCCGTCAATTATTTTTTCAGGTAAACATGATTTTCCATTAAAAAAGGCAACCCAACTGCATGAACACTTTCTTCAGACCTACCCCTTAAGTACACTTGCTCTTTTGTTGCATATGACATTAAAGAGACATGTGATCAAAGTTGCAGTTTATTAAAATTGTAATTTTCCTACTTTAAGAAAAATGTTAATACTGAAAAGGCAAGGTGGTAAAGAACACAGCCACTACCAACGCAGCAGGGTGCCCTGCCTTGAACCATGAGCCAGCAATTTACTATCGCATTTGTGCCAACAGGGCAAATGTCCGACACTGTGCGAAATCAAGCAATATCTTAGCATGATTACGAAAATGCTTTTGACTCTGAAGAACCACTGTCTTAGAATCAGAAAAGAAAAAAAAAAAACTGACACCAAAAGGGGAAAGAACATATGTTTGGAAACTGAAAAGAAATAATCATGAAGTACACAGGAATTCCTGGGTAAGTGAATGAAAATATCATCAACAAAATTAACTGTTCCCATTTCAGAATCATCAATATTCTGGATCTCATTTTTTATCCAAAGTAATGCACATTACAAAGGAAGAAGAAAACCAAATCCATTAGGTGTTCCTTTATAATGACTTCTCCACTGCTTTTAACAATAGCACCCAGGGATTTTGTGAGATATCTCACTGGGCCACTAGTACTCATTTGTACATTGGGGATGGGTCATACCTAGAAAGATTAAAAAATACTGTGCAGCAGACTACAGAAAACCACAACCTATTAAACTGGACAGACAGCCATATTCATCTGCATGCTGCCTTTTACATAAAAGTAGCTAAAACAAAGTAACATAGTTAGCGAACTAAAAGGGTAGATTTGCTACAAGGAAATGTGCTTTCTGGGTAATTTCACTTAATGCTGTGAATCTGCCAAGCAAATTCTTTTTCCAACTGTCACAATGAACCTACATATTAAACAAGTTTCTAGGTGCAGAAGTAATTCTAGCACAATGCTTTTTGTCTAAAATTTGAGTTACAGAGCCCGCTTGCCATTTCATCAAACTAAATTTTAAGTGCGGGTAATATATCAAATTCTTTACACTTTTAAAGTACAAAATGCAATAAATCAAATTATGGTATTAAAATAATTGCATTTGATAGGGCAACCTTCAATCTGTCCTTATGAAGCTTTGAATATCAACGTGCTCTACATAACAGTAGGCTACAGACCCCCCAGAACTACCTCTAAAGCCAAACAGATCAGGGAGAATACCAGAAAAAATGCCATGATGACCTTCTATCAGAATTCTGAATATAGTTCTGTTCCCCCCACCCTGAAAAGTCCATTTTGTTTCTTTCATAAGCTTGAAAACCACTGCTAAAGAGAGAGGAGGGACTTAATTGAGAAACTGGACTACTGTGCTAGAAAACTAAAATCCCAAAGGCAGTATAAATTTCACAGTGACCGACAGATCAAACTTTGGAGTTTCACAAGGGCAGGGAACTGTGCCTGTTTACCTTGAACAACTGGCACCCAGCATCATGCTTGCCACAAAGAGATAATCAAATGTTTAGTGAATGAATCAATGGCTGGAGAAGGTAGGAAAAAGGAAACGATGGTAAAGGGAAAGGTATGAATTACATTTCCATATTTTTCAAAGGATGGCACACCATCAAATGGACTCCTCTAAGAGCACAAGCATGGATAAGAGTATAACTTTTACAGTTGAAAATAATTAACCATGCATACCCACCAGGCTTGACGTCCTTGTAAACCAAGTTTTCCAAGCCATATATGAACTGTCCTGAATGTGTACCTGTATCCACATGGCAGCAATAACCAAAACGCAAAGCATTAAAAGACAACTTTAATTTCCACGTGTAAAATACACCTAACCTTGATTGCAAAGAGAATTAGAAACCATTCACAGGACAACTGAAATTCAATGACACCAAACCATCTACTTCTGAAGAAATACTTACAGTGACATCATTTTTATTCTTTCCACATACAAACTGCATTTTCGTAGTATTAAAGTAAAAATTCTTAATCAAAACTGTGACAATCAAATTAAGCAAGACAGGCAAATACTACTGAAATATTTTACAAATTTTCAAATGGA